GAATATGCAAAAAAAATCTCATCATTAAAGTCACTCAAGCTTTTCTTTTGGCCAGAGAAGTCACTCAAGTTTCTACCGCTACCATAATCCATGTACATCTCTAATAGGTTTCAGAAGCTTTCGGGTAACAATTATCAAACTATTTACAACATAATTTCAGATTTAAATAATTCTCAACAACAACATAAGATTGATTTCTGCTTTTCTGCTGGATGCTTACCTTGATGTGATGACCACAAATGAACCTTGCATTTGACGTAACTGCTAGGCTGGGCTTCGTCAGAGGTTTATGAGGGAAATGATGTGCCAGCGAGACTGTAGGTAGGGAATTTAGAATTTAACCTGGTGTATCGAAATCTTATAATCATATCTCCTATAATTAAATATATATTTATCTATATCTATATTGTCATACCCCAAAAAAATGGAGGGGTAACCGGCACAGGATGTGAATCATATAACACATCTCCGTAAGCCTCTAATCTTAAACTCATTTCATTTCTAAAATGTAATAAAATTTATATTAATATTTTAACATTTTTGGTATTGGTCATTATAATAAAGTTTAAAAAAAATTGTAAAAATTTTGATAAAACTTCGTCTATAAATGAGATCTTCTAAAACTCTACAATACAAAAATATTTACAGAATATCATGTCAGTCAAGAGCTTAGCTCTTCCAATAAATAGACAGCATATATACCAAAACAGAAGCCCTAACATAGCATATGTGGAGCACCTAACCAGACCTCTCCAAAATAACATACATAAGCATTGATAGTTACATAAAAAGAGAAATTTTGATCAGTTCTTTACCCAGCACATCTATGAGTTCTCATGGATCAATAGGAGAATCAGTGTTAACTAGGGCATCTGAGACCAAAAATAATTTTTCAGTGAATAACGTCCCAACAATAAATAATTAAACATAACAAAAGATTTAAACCATTATGTCAGTTAAAAAGGCAACGATCTTTATAAAAATTTAGTAAACTTTCGAAATAAAATGATTCTATAAAATTTTAAATAAAATCTCGAACCATTAAAATCTCATAATAAATAATATTATCACTTGATTGCAAAGAAGCAAATAAACAAAATCAATAATTATAAATAATTTACTATTTAAAACTAATGGGATGTAAAATTATCAGATAATCAAATTCATATAATAGGGACTTATCATAACAATTAACAAACGTGGACACACAGTCCACGAAGGTAAATAACCAAACGCGGCTCTAGCCACGAAAACAAACGTGCACACACAGCCCACGAGGGTAAGTAACCAAACGTAGTTCTCACCACGAAACAAATGTGGACACACAGTCCAAGAGGGTATATAACCAAACGCAGCCGAGGCCACGAAACAAACGTGAGTACGATGCTCACGAATAACCATCCCTCCATTCCACGTGCGTTGGCCATCGCACGGGGCTAGCACCTCCTATACACACCCTGCTAGCTAGGTGCACCATGGCGGGCTAAGGGCTAACGGAATTGTCGTTAGCAATCAGTGTTCTATATAAAGTCCCTTTTTTAAAACTATTTTCAAACATGCGAGAAATTGATCACCATTCCATTAAATTTTTCTTTTCAATGTCGAACTCGCATGAATCGTTTTTCCGTAACAATTCGATAATTTCCAAATTGAAATCCCACATTTAGAATTCAAACTTGCATTTACTGATTAACTAAAATGATCAATTCTGATGAAATAATTTCACGAAATAATATAATTTAACCAATAAAATATCTCATAATCACATTGTTGTCGTAAAAAGAATTTGCATAAAAATATAATATTTGAATAAAAGAGATTTTAATGAAATATCAGTTGGGACGCTATCCACTTACCTGAAAATTTTTCAAATAAGTAACTTACTTCTAACTGGTCCTCTTCCAGTAATGCTTGCTCTTTAAATCCTAGTGCCCAAGAAATACCATTGTTATTTTCTTTTGTAGATTTTATCATCATCATCATCAGTCTAAAATAATTCAGAAAGTAACACAGACAACTCTTAACTTTCAACATTTTTCAAACATTTCATAGACATTCTAATGACTAATATCTTAATAACAAATTGGCTCTTGAATTACTAATTCATAATATTATTTCCAAACTACTCTTATTTCTAATTTCAACTTTTTGTATAGAGAATAATTCTCATCCATAACAATTTAATTATCAATAATACAATCATCACATATATTCCCCATCATCCACCAATATTCATCCTTTCCAGCATTTTGTCAAACATCTTATAGGCACCAATTTTTAAATTTTAATAGTAATTTCTTCCTTCAAATACCATCCCATAATTTATTCAACAATCTTACAGCATCAATATAAAATTTAATTTGGCATCCCAAGTTTATTTCTTCAACAAGATTAATATAAATTTAGTTATACTCCAAGCACAAACAACATCTTCAGCAGGCAAAGATTTTTGCTTGGTTCAAAAACCTACTCCCTTTCTATAATCACGCACAACAGTAACCTCACACACCAAATAATATTATCTCCACTAAATAGACACACACGCACACAGCTAGCAAAAAGAAAACTCGATGCTCTTCACCTGGAACCAGCATGACCGAGCAGAGAAGGAGATAATCCTAGGCGAACGAACAAGGAGGAGGAAGGAAAAAGAATCTGCAACAGCATGAACGAGAGAGGAGCGAAGATGTCTGCAATGAGAAACAGGGGAGGATGAACAAAAAACAGAGGGAAATGAACAGCTCCTGCGTTCGAGCTTCCTCGAACACATGCGCAGATGAACGGAAGAAAGGGAGAGTTTGTACCTCACTCACCAATACATACGTGTGCACAGAATCAAACTAGAGAGAAGACAGAATCAAGCTTCCATGGCTACCTATGAGCAAGCATCTAGACGACACCAACGAGAAAGAGAAACAAGGAATCAACAGTGAAGCTTAAACAGAGATGGAGTAGGTAGATCTTGAGCGAAATCTTTACAGCGGCGAACTCATGGTGAACTCGACACCCATGCCGGTGATCAATTGAAATAGAGGAGGCGAGAATGCGGTGGAGGTTTGATTAGAAAGTTCCCTCTCTCACTGGGTTCTTGAAGATTCGAGAATGGAAAAATGAAAAAAAAGTTGGGTATGCGTATGATTTATATCCGACTCTGTTTCTGTTTCTCTCTTTTTTTTGTTTCTCTTTTTTTTTACTGGCATAATGGTAATATCATATAAATCAGACAAAATAAACAAAAGCAAGAGAAAAAATAAAGACTCCCTTTTTTCACCATAAGGATTCGAACATGGGACCTAAAAATAAACATAAATAGTAGTTACCACTGAACTATTAGAATATTTTAATAAATTTATACCAAAAATAATAGAAATACCTTAACTTATCTAATTTTAGATTTTTTTTTACATTATTTTCCTGAATCATTACATATATCTATAAACCTAACTATCTATTTATTATTCTTTTCAAATTTTATGATATATCTATATGAATTAGTATTTTTTAAAATTTTATAATAATCTGCTTTTATTTTATATTTTGATTTTTTTAAAGTTTAAAAATATTTTTTTAAAAAAAGTACCTATTTCCTTTAAAAAAGCTTGAACAGGCATCCTAATATGTTAACAAAATAATTTGGAAGCTTTACATGCCCAGATTTAATTGGAAATAAGTATCTTAACTATATAATATTAGGTATATAAGTTTTTCCCAATATTCAAGGTAAATTATTTTAGACATAAAACTAATTAATGGAATATTATATTTAGGGTTGTCCGTTTATTTATGAATATGAAAAAATATAAAATGTATATATACTGCTTCCTTTGTATTATAATATAAGTCATTGTTAACTAATTTATGTTTTGTAAAATTTTAATTTTGTAAAGTTTTAATTTTTTTAAAAAATTCACATCTCTTGAATTATACCTCAGATGTAATAAATATAATATTTGAATTATTCAAAACACTTTCATTAATTACTCTAGTAGAATATATAATAAAGGGTATAATTAGAAAAATATATAAAATTTACGCAACGTAATTATATTTTAGACGAAGCAGGATTTTTAAACAAAAGTTCTGCATTGTAATCCAAAGGAGGTGTATTTATCTTATATTTGTAATCTAAAATATGATCAGCTAGATGATTCTGAAAGATAATCGTTATATGATATATTTAGATTATATATCTAATAGTCTTGTTCGGTATTTGATTTAATTATTATTATTAAATAATTATTAAAAGAAGTAATGATAATTTGGGAAAGAATATGTTAACTTTCATTAGTTATATAATAGATTAATCAGCTAGATGATTCTAAAAGATATTTTATTTTCGTGGAGGATATTATATATATATATATATAAGAAACTATAGGACTTTAACTTTGATTTGTTTCTCTTTCTATGGTCAAACACATCTCACGCAAATTGGAAGAAATATCCTATAACAGTGCATAATTATATAAGCAAAAAAAATTATATTTTGATTAAATTTTTAATGGAAATTATATCTATTGTTTAATAAAAATATAAAATTCTCAATGTTTTTTTTCAAGGACAAAAAATTCAAGGATTTTAATGTTTAAGAATTAACATATTTAATGACCAAATTATAAACACTTGTTTAAAAACAATAAATTATATAAAGTTAATTCAAAACTCAAAAAAAACTATAAGGAGGTGTATATTAATTTTCTTATTTAATGAGAAAATTAACCAAACAATTAATTTTAAGTAGAATTTCCTCCAATGAAAAGATATGTATGAGAAATAAAAAATAATATAAAATTTAATAAAATTAAAAGGTTAAAAAGAAATGAGAAAATCAATTTACAGGTCTTTATAGTGTTTCTCAATTTTAAATTAAATTTAAATATTCTATTTTATTTTAATTAAGTGTTTATAATTTGATCGATTAAACAAGTGGGATGAAGCAAACACGGTGAATAGCCGTCAAACGCAACTTTCCTCCAATTTTAGTACATGACTTCCCAAGATCCCATTCCGAGCTTAAAAAAAAAGGAAAAAGAAACAGCATGTAGAGATCAAAATGCATGCATCAAGTGCTGATATAACGACGAGGCCAAATACAATTTTAGGAGCAAGCCTTGCCAAGGACACAATGAAGAGGACCAGCATTGAGAGTCAAATGAGGGACCAAGGAGGCAGTAACAGCTATGAAAGACTGTGAAGCTGCATAATAAGGAGCACAACTTCCAAACCCTGATGGAACAAAATATGCTCCATTCCTGAATTCATCCTTGTACGTCCTCCACTTCCACTTGTTCCAGCTTTTATCACTTGTTTCCCTCTTGGTAACCTGTCATTTATTAATTAATTATTGCACATATGAATCAATAATGGTTAATTGAATCTGTTGATTTCTCAACATTATATTGACGTACCTGTTTTGCAGTAGCGTTGTTTGGAGCTATGAAGTAGTTGCCTTCACTTAAAATGGTAGGGTCGGCACTGCCTCCAATGGCGTACTGAATCCACTCCTCATATTGGTTGTTCGCCACATGCGCATACCCAAATCTCACCCTGCGTCGTCTCTCATCACACATTAATTCACAACTCATTCCAAAACTAAGATATAGTGATATGGCTATATATATACATGCGTTTAGACTTTGGAACAACAAGCTAGACTATATTACAAGGTTTCATTCGTGAAAAATAAACCAACCTCTTACGTACCTTGGCATTCTCTCTACGAGGCCGTTGGCAAAACGATTGAAGGCTACTGTCACTTTCATTATTCTATCTGCTGTATATTCATCGCTGTGCCCGAGCAGCATTACCTGCAGGGGACATTCATCATGCACCTGGCTAGCTAGCTACTTATACCTTAATTATAATATAGTTTAATTTTATCCGACACGAGACTTTTCACGTTAGCTCAACAGTCAGCGGACACTTGGACAACTCAACATTTTTGGAAGCAATATGGAATTAATTGAAATTTGTTCTCCTTACTTTGTCATGCTGAGTGAAGTAATTGTTAGAGATGGTGACAGAAGTTGAGGCATGGATAAGATCAATAAGGCCATCTGTACAACGAGCCAAGAAGCAATGATCGATCCAAACATGCGAAGAAGCAAATATGCTAATGCCGTCTCCATCTGAACCTCCCCTTTGCCCCACATGCTCTTCACTATTCCTAACCATCCCAGCTTTTCCTGCATATATGTGTGTGTGTGTGTGTGTGAGTGCGCGCGCGCGCGCAACAGCGTTAAAAATCTATATCAGATTATCGTAAAATAAGGACATACGTACGTACATCTTGTCAACAAGTCATGACCTATATGTCATCGTTTTACTTCTTAGTCAGATAACGACGACATATAAATGCTGCATTAATTACCTGGTTTACAATCATGAATGCTAATCCCATGTATAATGACATGGCTAACACCTTGGATGGTGATGCAAGGTCCATAAGCAATCTCCACTTTGGATCCTCTGCCATCGATGGTCTTATAGCTATTGACTATAAGCTCGTTCTTGAAGGTCACAACCATATCCCTGGCGAATATTATCCAAAGAGGCCGTGTTTGGATGACACCATAGCGAAGTGTCCCCGGTTTAGGGTTCACAGGGTCATCGGATGCATCAGTGACTTCATATATAGCTCCAAACTTACCTCCAGTGGCGTCTTTGCCGAACCCAACAGCGCAATCAGCCAGGGCTTTCCGATTCGATGCCCAGTTTGATTTGCCTCTCCAGCAAGAGTCAATGGTGTTGAGGATAAGGTTCTTAGGTTTGGGGATATAGCTTGAACTGAGCTTCGTAGTATTGAGGTAATAATTGTCTGTTGAATCTGCACTTAAGGTTGTAGTCAAGTTTTGAAGAAGAAAGCATGAAAGGAACAAGATTTTTGGGGTTAACGTGGCCATTGATTGACGGTGATGGGTTTAATTCTGAGATAATAGTAGACGACATGAGTTGATTAAATAGGAAATAGGTCAGTCGTAGGTGGGGCACACGACTTGCGTTCGTTGAGATTTTGTCTCTGAAAAATACGTGGATGCACGAACTTTGTCGGTTGATTACTTAATGATCATTTCTTATTGGGTTAAACAAGAAGAAATTATAAAGTTATAAACACATGTATTCACTAAAAAATCCCCTAGTATTAGAACCTATAGAATTGATGAGTATCATAAACTTTATCATTAAGTTGAAAAAAATGTTGTGAAAATGAGTGTCATATCACGTGCAACTAAATTTCACAACTACAAAATTAATGGTCACTTTCTTCAACTTAATGGCAATTTAAAGAGTTAAAGGAAGTTTTAGCATATTTAAAAGTTTAAGGTTCAGAATACTGTTTGCACAATAGTTTAAAGTCTAAAATACTTATTAACCCAAATCAACCAATATGATATTTAATATTTAAAATTAGGTTATAACATTGGTATATGTGAAAATCTAGTACTTCCGGAGCCTTAATTAATTAGATAAACATGCACACAAATACACAACGATATTTGCAAATATAAAGGGGAATGCTGATGATCTGTTCTGCAATGGAAATTTTAGATCTTTTTTCCCCTCGACCAAGAAGATTTTCCAGTCGAGATTTTGTTTTACCAGAAAGTTCAATTATTAAAATTGCGTTTGATATTATAATATATATTTATATATACACACACAACTTCCTTTTGGTGACATTAATGAAACACACACAAATGTTATCGTTGAGTTTCATTAAAAATTAGGTCAAATTATATAATTAGCTAAATAATCTAAAATTAGGGTGTAGCCTACTTGTAAATAAATGCTAAAAATGAAGGGTTAAAAAAAACACACAGAGAGAGAGAGAGAGAGAGAGAGAGAGAGAGAGAGAGAGAGAGAGAGAGAGAGAGCCTGAAAGAAAAACATGGGTGAGGTGAGAATGGTATCACAGATTGATGTCAATTACAACGCCCAAATGAATCCATCATATTCCAGTAAAGCCAATGTAATTAAAATAATAATATATAATACATTCACTCGCAAAGCTCATGTGATGAGCACTTGCTCTTTTATTACTCATAATTAATAAGCTAATAAATTTATATTGACTGATTAACTTGACAACTGGAACCTATGACAACAACACTAGCACTCACAAATTAAATTTTCTCATATTCTTACCAAGAAATCAACTGATACTGAAACCATCTTTAAAAGAATTACAATGAAATTATATATTGTTAGTTCTATGATGAATTTAAGCGTAGCTGCATATTCCGTAGTTGCAAGAATCTCCATTGTTGCACTTGTTGCCACATGTTCCACAGTGGTTGTTGCTGACCATAGGGTTCACACACTTGCCTCTGCAACATATCTGCGAGTACTTGCACTTCCTACCACACTTGCCACAGTTGTTTCTGTCTCTTGACACATTCACACACTTCTTCTTGCAGCAGTCCGGCCCATTGCTCCCCGGCGCCCGGCAAATCCTCGGATATTTATCACAAGTCATCGCCTTGTGGTGGTGGTGCTGGTGTTGTCTCTCGCGAAGGAGCCGATGATTTGGCCCTTCAAGAGAGCTTGATTCTTGTGAAACAGCAATGGCCAAAGCTGCCACCAGTAAGGCCAGAAGGAATAGTGCCTTCAGGGACTTCATATTTATGTGAGTCAGAGTTGATGTACACAGAGAGAAGATTCAGAACTATATAAGAAACTAAATATGAATAATGGTTTTGATGGATGAGCAGAGGAATGAAGCATGGTATATATAGAGAACGAAGGAGGGAAATGAGAATGAATGAAGCTAGTTATAGTTTTAATTAATATTAGGTCATTGCATGAGGAATTGGTCAGATTCAAACTTCAAAGCTCAAATAAGTGGTTAAGTAACCGAGTTAGGCTTGTTTGAAAGTATAGAACTTCTAATTCTGTGGAAATGTGAAAATCGGCCTCCAACGATTAATATTTAAAAGCTTAATAATTAATTGTATAAGTAAGATCATGGTGTCCTAAATTGGAGCACTATGGCTAATTTACAGTAGAACTTCGTGATGCTGATTAATGACTTTTCTTGGCGATCATGTCAGATTATGCATCGCGTTGGGAATAAAGCAGGCGCAAACGTACGCGTCGGTTCTTGGTTGTATTCAAATTTTGCATGTTCAAAAGTTTCGAGTGAAAAAAAAAAAAAGTAATTTTCAATTTCATAAGCCACTCGAAAAGAGTCCGTTACAGAAGCACTGATCTTTCCTTTTGTATTCCTCTATACAGTTTGACTTTTAATTTAATTCATCATTCTCCCTATTTTTGACTTTTTGGTGATGATCTAGACTGTAATTTTTTTTTCGGCCGAAGATTTAGACTGTAATAATTTAGCTGAAGAAAAGTGTTCTGTACGTGGATATAATAAAAAATACTCTCTCCATTTTAAATTATAAAATATTTTTAAATAAAATTCACATATCAATAAATTTCATTAAATACAATTAACAACTTTATTTTTCTACAACAAAAATATAAACTTTTAAAAATACCTATTATTTAATACATTGAAAAGAAAAGAGACAAACATTAATTATAGAGAAAGAAAGGGTAATTAAAAATGATATATTTAATGAAATCTTAATTTACTCAAAGTATTTTATATTTTGAAGCTAAAAATTTTTTTTAAAAATATCCTATAATTTGAAACGAAGAAAGTAATATATAAGTCTACTTATGCCACAGGCCACATTTGAATGCGTAACCAACTTAATTTGAAAAAATATTTATATAACTACTAATTGATTACTTCTCGCACAAAGTATCTGAAACATGCGTCTTATTTGTAAATTGTATTGGAGGTAGAGAAACGCACGCTGTGAGAGGGAGGGAGGGAAGGAGGAACACGTGTCTCGTTTGAGGATCTGGGCTTTTATCAGCATTTTTCTGGGCATCCACATAATGGAATGTCTTTGGACCCCCACAATGACGTGGGTTTTTTTTTTTCTCCGTTAAATGGCAAATTTCAAGAAAAATAAGACACTTGCAGTCATGTTTTTCTCCGAATCATCAATATGCTCAAGTGGAAAAATTCAGATCCAACATGTGCCTAGGAAGCATAATCAAGTGGCTGATAAACAGGAAAAAGAAGCAATTAATTATGGAAGAATTTCAACTACAGGTCAAAGAAGAGAAATATTTATTAATAGGTCCTAAAAAAATTTGAACATTCTCTAGAAATTTTTGGACTGAACTGAAATAAAATTGTTAGCTGAAAAGATCAAAGCATCATTCTGCAAAAGGGAGAAAAAGTAGTTAAACAAGACTTGTTAACTGCTTCACTTTACTTATTAATCCGTGACTCTCTCTAAACTTAACTACATTATTTGTTTATTTCTCAACTTTACTTGTTAATTTCACAACAATAATTGTTAATTTTGTAACTTGATTTATTATTATAGTGATAAGACTTATTTAATCCGTTGATCTGAAAAGCAATTAAATTATTTATTAATCATATAATTTTACTTGTTAATTTCTCAACAACGTTAATTGCCCATCATCACTTGTTAAATGATATTTGATATCTTGTTCAACATTAAACATGTAACAAATACACTACTTTGTGAAATTATTATCTTAAATTGTGAACTATATAATATTACTTGTTAACCAATACATTACTTAATAATGCTTGATAAGGATTAACAAGTAAAATGAAGTAATTAACAAGTCATGTTGTATAGTTAATAAGTAAAGTTATATGATTAATAAATCTTTCGATCAGCTGCCTTCAGCCAATAACTTTATTTCACTTTAGTCCAAAAAACCTATAGAGAATTTTTAGATTTTCTTGGGATCCATTGATAATATCTATCTTCCCTGGTCCTTAGTTGAAATACTCTCATTAATTATTCTCCCCTTGTTTGAGGTTGCTCCTAAGTTCTTGGGGAGCTTAGTTTCTTCTAAATAATGTTTAGGATTTCAATCCCCTATATGATATAATTTTGTTTTAAGTTTTGGGCTCAGCGCTCTTTAGTTTGAGATTCCAAACTCATTTTCAGTGCAATACTTTCCTTCACCTTTTAAAAATGATACAATTTTTTCAGTTAGTTGATTACAAAATTATAGAAAAAGACCAAAGAAAATTGTCTTGTCATTTTGTATAATTTTTTGATTATTTTTTATAATTTTTGAGACCAATTTTTATAATTTTTTAATTAACTAACAATCAGAGTTAACTTTTATTAATAATATAATAAAAATGGTATTACATTATTTTTAAAAGTTGAAAGAAAATATTACATTGCGCTTTAAATTTTTTTAACCCTTGTGGTGAGGTTGGTTAAAGTTAAATCAAACTTAATGAAATTTGAAAACTTTCCATGTGGAAAAATCAAATTAAAAACTAAATCTATCTACTTATGCTTTATATTTCAAATCCTAATTTGGAGTCCATTATATTCTTGGTCATTTTTTTTATTAACCTTTCTCTGTCAGTTTTAATCAATTTCGATCTATTCTCATTTCACTTCACTCTAATCGATTTAATGATTCAATTTTAAATACTTTTATTTGGTAATTTTTAAAAATAAAAATACTAGCATATTTACATAAAAATGAAAAATAACTATTATGAAATCAATGGACTTTCGATGCAACCCCTCAGGAAAAGCATAGGGAACGCCACTCTCTCCCTGCATACGTCCATCCGTCCCTCCCCCCCCCCCTCTCTCTCTATATAGATATTTACGTTTTCAAGCATAAAAATATATTTCTAATGAATTTATATAAAATTTAATTATATACGAAATATAGTATATTAGGGAGATGAAATGTGTGTAATTATTTTTAAAAGATATATTGAATACCCAGTGAATGTGGCACAGATGATAGTGGCATGGGCTCCTTAAGCATCTGAGTTTGATTCTTATAAATATGTGTGGAAAGCATCACTAAGAAGGACACTCAGATTCTTTAAATGATTAATTTTACGCCTACCGGTTGTTGGTATATTTTAATTGAAAAACCAAAAAAAAAAGATATACTGAATTTGTAGTATTATTATTGTTATTATAATTGAAGTGCCCCTGATAGTGCAAATCTTTGGGTCCTCGTCGCATTTCTAGGAGAAACTAGGAAGCGATGATGTGCGTGTGATTGTAATTAAGTATTGGTGGGTGCTTCTTGTTCAGAAGAGAATGTGGCCACCCGAAACAGGGTCTTTAATCTTTATTGACTTCTCGTCCGCACGTGTATGTGTGTAGGTTGGTTGTACTGGAAGGAATCAGAAGATATATGAATTTTGATATTATTATTCTTCTTAATCTATCTAACCCTTTCCCATAAAAAAGAGGGTCCTACACAGATGGCAGCACACCACACCTATGACCTAACTATCCATATTCCATGCTCGCCGACATAACCTAAATCAAGGAATAGAACTTACAATCCCTTGCATCAGGCAAAGGTTCATGCGAGATTATTGGTGAGTTTTGATATTATTGAAGGTAATTAATTAGGAATTTAATTAAGAGTAGTTAGTTGGTTTAAGTGCATGTGGGCTGATATATATCCCATCCGTATTGGCTGGTTAGTGCGTTGGTCTAGATCTGACCAAATACTATGGGAAGCGCCTAATGACGACAGATACTTCAAACTTCATCCTTCAGTTTAAAATTACATTAATTAAATTTATTTATTATTATAATTTATGATTTATATCAATCTTCTTTTTATCCACCATCATCCGTAAAAAAGATTTAAATTATTAATCTATTTTGTCATCAAGCCAAATGATGATATATATGTGTGTGTGTGTGTGTGTGCACTTCCAATGATCGATATGGCTGTAATTAAGAAGATAAATTAATTAATGGAGGCAAGTGGTATGCAAAGCCTCAAATAAATTTAACAGTTTGATATGAAACCAGAAAAACCGTTACAAAGCCACGTGATGTTTCAAAAGCCTTTTATTTTGACATTTTGAAATTAATAGGAGGTAGCATCAAATTGTTGGAACTCAGGCTTGACTTTCTGACTTATCCTTCAAGTAATCAAATTGTCTTTTTTCTAGCCAAAACAATTGAAAAGCACTAAAGATGCTGAACATAACATCTCGTTCTATATGTTTTCAAAATCGTTGATTATTGTTCAATCATTAGGCACTACCCCACTATCAGTAGAAAAAGTGCGAATGAAAATATGATCTATGGTTGAAGTTCGTTTTCGATGACTCCATATTAAGAAACACGACGAAAATATTAAAAAAAAAAAACTAATATGCTGGTTGACCAAAATTTTACGATATTGAACCTGTACCAGTGTTTTTGGGCCCAACTTTCATCACGATCAAAAGATTTGAAAATATAAAACAATCACCAAATATCGTTTAGTGAGTTGGTATAAAAATATGCTATAATTATTTCATACAAAAAAAAAAGACTTTTGTTGTCGTCAAGTGTTCAAAAGTCACCGTTAAAAGTTTTTGCCGTCAAAAGATCGTCGTTTTAACAATTGTCACTAATAATTTTTTATACCGATAAATATTGTTGCCATCAAAAGTATACTTTTAGCAAAAAGTTTTTGGCCACTAAAAGTATTTTTGGTGGCAAAAAATATTGCCGCTAAAATTAAAAGACTTTTAGTGGCATCATTTGTCGTTACAAAACTTTTTTTTTAAGAAATAATAATTTATTTTATATCATATTACTCTGTCACGTGTACATCACATGATACCATATCGTCGTTCATATACGTGACAGATAATTTCATGTCATAGGCCATGTGTTGGACAAATAATGCCACATCGCACTGCCATCTCACGTGCCACGTGTGCATCTCCTTAAGCCAACTCATGTGCTATGCCACTATTTCGTGCCAAGTCACCTGCTATGTGTGTGCCTCCTCAAGCCAACTCATGCGTCACATTATTGCCATGCGCTCATGTCACTGCCACGCGCGCACATCATCTGTCACATGTGTGCCTCATTATGTCACTATCACACACTATGTAACATATTTGTTATAAAATATGACAAAATCAAGGTTTGAAACCTTGACTTTTCCTACTTTCAAACCTTAAGCCTCCCTTCTTTATCTATTGAATTGAAATGTATCTATAATTATTATATGCAAAATTAAATATAATATGTTATGTAATTACATACACATATATCAAATAATATATTATTAAAAAGATATACATTTTATTTTTAATTATTAATATGACAAAATGATTTATATGAATATTTAAATTATAATTTTAATAAAATATTTTTTACCAATAAATATTATTTTTGTCATGAAAATAAACTTAAAATAAACAATTTTTCAATATTAAATAATATTCATATATACACTGTAACTAATTTTTAAATTTTATTTTTATTCTTAAATAAAAATTATTAAGTGTATAATTTATTTATAAATATGTATGATATTATTTTATGTTGAATATCTTTTAATTTTTTCTTCTCCATATTTTTCTCAAAAAGTGATGAATTAAATAATTAAATTTTTATCGTCTCTCAAAATAGCAAAATATTTTTTCCTCTTTTATTAAAAATATATTTTATTGATAATTTTTATATATCTTAAAAATTATTTTAATAACACATTAATTTTAACCACATAAATTTTATCAATAGTCATTTTGAATAATTTTAAAAAAGAATACCAATAACTTTTACAATATATGATAATTACAAGAATTTTATATATAATCAATCTAGTTAACATCTAATCATCCTGAATCTCATAGCAAGGTGGATTTGAATAGTTATTCATATTATTCTTAGTAATAATTAGTTATAAAAATGTTATTACTAACTTCTTTTTTATAATAATGAAAACCTAAATATATTAAGAGGAATTATAGGGAATCCTTGTTCAAAAGCCATTAGAGCTCAGTAGAAAAAGTAGACACTATATGTATATCAAGCTAAATATCAAGTGTGCAATATACTAAGTAGTCTGTAATATCATTTGCATTTCGTGACATTTGTACAACTTTAACATCCTAATGCCATTTATGTATTTACATGTAAGTAATAATTTATGTATAATTTAACTTAATTATAATTGAAAGTAATAACCCATCAATATTTTAATTTATCATATTAAAAGACTAGCTTAATAACATAATTCTTAAAAAAACATGAGCCATATATGTCTAAAAAAATTATGAATAATACAAGATTAGAAATAATTTAATAATTAAACTTAGCACATCTTGATTATTATTTTTTTTGTTTCATGTCCCTATATAACATTTATTTCTAATTCTATGCATAAAATAAAAAATTTAATTTCATAAATATATTTTGAATAATTTTATTTAATTTCAAATTTTTAAAATAATTCATAATTTTTTAAAAAATTTAAATTATACTTTTAGAAATTATTTCATATAATTTAAAATTATATTTAAAAAAAATACCAAAAGTGGATTATATAAATAATTTTTAATTTTTAAATTATTTTTTATAAAAATATTTTTGATAATGACAAATGCCGCTGTGAAAAGTAAACTTTTAACGGTGATATATCAAGGTCACTGTCAAAAGTTCACTTTTGGCGGTAACATTTAGTTATCACAGCCAAAAGTAAACTTTTGACAATGACGTTGATTTGTCACTGTTAAAAATTTATTTTTAGTCGTCGTTAAAAATTGTTGCTAAAAGTCATTTTTTTAATAATATTTTGTAACTATTAAAACAAGAATTTGAAAGTTAAATTTGCTAATATATATATATATATATAAAACTACCAATTACACATCACCATTTCCATTGATTTAATTAGTTATTTTCATGCAACTCTTAAAAAATGAATTTGTAAGTAAAATTCGTTAATTTGTGAAGAATAATGATATATTTGATAAAATTTCCTTTATAAATTATTAGTCAATCTCAATTGCAAATTTTTGTTTTGAGGATTGCAAGTCATATAATGAAAGTAGTGAAGTTTTAAACTAATTCAATAGAGGATTTGGTCCTTATTCCAAGTGTGAAGACTTGTAAGAATCAAATAGAGAGAATAAGATGAACATTCATAATGATAGTGATGATTGAACATTACAAAAATATAATCCTTCACTTGAAAGATATACTAACAATTCATCCTTTAACTAAAGAGTGATGTATATATCCCAAACCATGGGAATGAATCATGAGGGGTTACAATAAACTTCCCCACTTATATGTCTAACCTTTAATAATATATTTAGACTTAGTCTAACAAAATCAGGTTTTCAAATCTTTTTATCCTTAATTATTTAAATTTCATGATGAGTTTGATTTTTTTTCTTAATCAGAGAACTCAAATCTTTTAATGTTATTATAAATAACATTATTCATTAATCAATTTTATGATAATTCATATTTTGATTTAATAATTGTTATACGATATAAATGAAAGTATTTGTAAGAGAATTTTCAAAAAGGGCGTTTCAGCTCCATCAAGAATCTAAAAGGCTGAATAAAATAAACATAAGTTATTTAAACTCAGGTGGCAAGAGTATCATTGATAAACTTTGGGTAGAGATAAGCAATTTAAACCCTCCTGGTATATATAGCAAAATTGGTGATTAAAAAATGATACAGAATATGTGGCGCATATAATTTTTCTCGCAATGGTCCAAGAAAATCGTAGTTGGAAGTGTCTTCGGGATCAAAAAAGCCATCGATAAAGTTTCCGTGGGTTCCGATACAAAATTAAAAAAGAGATTATCTAAGTTTCATTAGCTTAACTAAAAGTCTTAAGTTCGAACTCTAAATATGCAGATGTGATTAAATTTTGGGTAAGAGGTACGTTACTCCGAGAAGCCTGCAAGCTAACAACTCAATTAGTCAAGGTCAAAAGACTTTGGATACAGATCAAAGGAAAGCTAAAAAGAAATGAGACTAATTAGCTACGTACTTATACACGATGACACCAACATTTTCTATTTAATATTCCATATCATCATATTATTTATTAAGTTACTGATATAGTAACTCTACTTTTAAATTTAGTATAATGCAGGGTAACCCCCTCAAGCATAAGCATTGATTTTGACAAACATGTTGGAAAATATGCTCCGCAATCAATTAGCGGCGCAATGGACTGAGTTATAGCCAAAATATATATATATATACATACAATCAATCAATAATAGAAAGTGAAATATTGGAGAAATAACACGCCGACATACAAAACTAAACAAAAAAAAAGACCGTTTTATTTATTCATCCATATATTCATGCTTACATATATCTGCATGTCCATATCAGTATAACAAATTAAAAAAAGAACAAATAAAAATTAATGTATTGGCAGCACTAACATACATACCAAGCTAAGAGAGCGCGATGGCTGCACTTTATTATTATTATTATTATTATTATTATTATTATTATTATTCATAATCATCATTATTATCAATGAAATTGATATAATAAATGAACAGGGGTGTTACGTTCAAGCATAGCTGCACATCCCGTACAAGCAAGAGCTGTCTTCACCACACTTGTTACCACATTTGCCGCAATGCTTCTCGTTGTTCATGGGGTTCACACACTTGCCTTCGCAGCATATTTTCTGGTGTCCACATTTCTTCCCACACTTTCCACAGTTTGATGAATCCATCTCCAGATTCACACACTTGTTGTAGCAGCAATCTGGGCCTGCACTTCCTTCAGCAACACAAACCTTAGGGTTTATCTTGCAATTCGTTATGCCAGCAAGGAAGCGACCTGTGAGCCCACGTCCAAAGTTGAATTCTTTCTCTTCTGCTTTGGAAACAGTAATGGCGGAAGCTGCAACGATGGTGATGAAAAGGAAGAGAAGGCTCAATGACTTGTTCATGTTTGGAGGGTGTGATGAGGGTTTTGACTTTTGAGAGTGAAGTTTTGGGAGAAAGACTTCAATGGCGGAAGATGGTGATAGGAAAGATTGGGGTTTTGATCGATGCATGTGACGAGAAGGGACGTAGAGGCATTTATTTATACTGGTGGAGGAATCATTGAGAATTCAGATCTGGCTATTATAGTTTTATTCTATTCATTTTCATCAGAGTTGGTTCAAGTTCAAATCAAATTAGGCTTACTACAATAAAATTGTGAGTGGAAAAAAAACTGAAGTCTGCAGGATGAATTGATGATAACTGAAACTATTGCCGGAAACTTCGTGCGTTGAAAATCTCACTTGCACATACGTTGCTTACTTGAAAAAAAAGGTCAGATTATACAATTAATATAAATGATAAATATTAAATTTATTACCTCGAACTGTGAATTAAGACTTTATACAAGTAAGGAAAGATACACCAGTTATCAACTTGTAATATTTGGCAAAGCCATCCCGTGACATATAACAAATAAAAATACACTCAAGAAGGAAATGAAATGAATTTTCTGAATTTGCATGCTCCTTAATGCTTCCGGTTGCACTTATCATAATTAGACCAGATCATGAAATGAAAATGAAACCTGTTGAAGAACCTTATTATTGCGTTTGATTGGGTGGGAGTTTACTATAACCATTAATATTTTAATTATGATTTAAATGAAGTAAATGCTATTAATTTCAGGTATCATGTTCATTTCAGCCTGGTCAGCTCCCAAAAGTGGGGTTAAGCTGATATCCAAAAAAATTTTCCTATACGACTTAAACTCAAAATTTTGTTTAAGTGATACTAATTAACTTACTACGTCACCTTCAGTACTCTTTTAATTTTCCAAAACAAAAAGTCAACTTCACTCAATTTAATTGTTTTAAGTAGAGTTGTGGCGGTATTTTTTTTTAATGTTTATGCTAACCTTTCCAAATTATATATATATATATATATATATAATAATATATATATATATATAATTTAAATCCTTTGAAATTGGGATCTATAAATTTAAGTGAAGCTTGCCCTTTTTAGTATTTTTCATCATTTTATTATTCTTCTATTTCTATTTGTTTTTCAAATGGTAAGTGTTCAACCATTTAGGCACTAACCCACTCTAATTAGTAGGAAAACTGTTGAAGAAAAAACATTGAAGTTCGTTTTTGATTTCATATTAAGAGGAAAAACATTAAAAACACTAACAAATGCTGATATGCCGAATTTTTACGCTGAATATGCTATATCATTTTTTTAATATTTGTTTATGCCCAACCTTTTCTTTTCCTACATTTTTTTTTTGGTTAGCATAGCAGGTTTTATAAACTATTATTTCATTATTTGTTCTTTTAAAGGATTAAATTTATTTTGCTATGGTGTGCGTGTATATCATATTATATAAAAATAAATAAATAAAGATTTAGACTAATTTTGTTTAACCTAAAACCTTTTTATATGATTATAATTAGTAATATTAATTTCATTAATATTAATTATAAGTGCGTAGAATAAAGTCTGAAACTTTCAGGTACACAATAAAATCCTATTTTGGGATTTAATTAAACGCATCCACAATAATGAGTTTTTAGATCTTGGGCAAAACTAAACTTCAATATTACTTGTTAGAAATGAGAAGTGACTGCTCGAGAATAGTGAGAGAGGAGAAACGGTAAGATTGGTGGAAGGATACTTTACATCTTAGTTTAAAAACCCCAAGACTTAAATTTATAAGTCCTTCCTTTTTATTATATATTAGTTATTAAATTTAATTTTATTTAAAATAAAACTTTCCCACATTGTCTGGAAGTTAACTCCCGTGGCAAGAGTGTAGTAAAGTATGGGCAGAATGACCATATACATAGCAAAAAGGTGACTAAAAATGATCCAGAAAATGTGGTTCATAATTTTCGCAATGGCCTCAGAAAAACATGGATTCAGATTCGATGCTTCGACGAGTGTCTCAATCCTTTCTTCCAGTGAGTATCTTACTTAGCATTATAAATATTCAATTAAATAGTTGTTAGAAATATTAGCGCAAGATATAAAGAGAACATCAAATTACAGCTCTATCTTTTTTCTATGCCTTATATTTTAATCTAATAACTATTCATATGCTTGCACAGAAATGATTAAATGCATTATCATAAAACCATCACCGTTTTATTTATTTTTGATCAAATATGAATTTTTAAGTGTTGATACATGAAATCCTACGAACGGCAATGTAGACACTCTCTAGGTGAGAATTTTAAGACACTTGCAGGATTCAAATCCAAAAAATCATAATTGTGAGTGGTTTAGGCTTCTTTCAATATTATTATTGGGATATTGAAAACCATCAAAATCACCGTGTGTTCCGATGCAAAATTTGAAGTGAGACCACCTAGCTACTAACCATGATGATACCAATGTTTTATATTTAATATTCAATATAAAAATAAAATTTACACCACGTCATATTTAATAAGTTATGAATATATAGTAGTTTTATTTTCAAATTTAGTACGATACACCCATCATCAATTAAACAATTTTTTATCAAAGATGTTTCAAAATTTGTCCCCTACTCACTTAGCAGTGTAATTAGCCAAGTTAGCCAAAAAAAGAAAAAAAATCAAGCAACACACAGGGAGCGAAGTAATTGAAGAAAGAACAGGCCAACATATACGTACAAAACCAAACAAACGATATGGATTTATTTATTCATTCATATATATATATATATATATTCATGCATACATATGCTGATATGCATGGCCATATCAGTATAACAAATGAAAAAAAAGAACAAATAAAAATTAATGTATTGGCAGCACCATAACAGGTCGACATGGCTGCACTTTATTAAATTATTAATCATCATCATTAAATGAAATTGATAGGAATGGATACGCGTCACGTTCAAGCATAGCTGCACATTCCATACAAGCAAGAGCTGGCTTCATCACACTTGTTACCACACTTGCCACAGTGCTTCTCGTTGCTCATGGGGTTCACACACTTGCCTTGGCAGCATATCTTCTGGTGTCCACATTTCTTGCCGCACCTCCCACAGTTTGATGCATCCATCTCCAGATTTACACACTTGTTGTTGCAGCAATCTGGGCCTGCGCTTCCTTCTACAACACAAACCTTTGGATTTATCTTACAACTCGTTGTTATGCTCCCATCATGGGGTGTGTTGGCCAGGAAGCGACTTTTAATCCCACCTACAAACTTAGGTTCTTCTTCTTCTTCATGACCTGCGGAAAGCGTAGCTGCAGAAGCTACAAGTATGGTGATGATGAGAAGGAATAGATAGGACGACTTCATGTTTGGAAATGTATGTTAGGGCTTTAATTTTGAGAGTAGGGACTTGAATGCAGAGAAGAAGGTGTAGGAAAATTTGTGGGACGTAGAGGGATATATATAGTAGGAACAAGTGAAAGGAATCATGGAGATTTCATATTTATACACTGTTCATATATAGATATATTTTATTCAATTTCCGATTTCATGGTCCAAGATATATTCAAGTTTGAACTTTGAACCAAGTTAGGCTTACCAGAACATAATTGAAGAGTGGAAAAAAAACTGAAAGTCTACGTGTGACAGCTACATCTATTGCCCCGGATCGAAACTTCATTTGCCTAGTTTCGGCGCTTACAAGAGGACAACGTAAAACAAAGAGTTCTTGGCGTTCAGATTCGTCCAACAGGTTTATAAAAGATAAATCTAATTATTAATAAGTATAAAAATATTTAAAATCAATGTCCACATACACATATATTTCTTTATTTGTACTGTTAATTTTTGGCCTAAAATACTTTTTTTTTTCTTTTCTAATTCTAATTAATTATTAATTTAATCTCAAAAATTTAAAATTTTATAATTGAGTTCATATCTTCCATATATCTAATAAATTTTAAATAAATGTATAATTTATAATTTATGAGCATTATAATGTGTTATATAAGATGTTTGCATTTGCACAAGCCTATTTCTACTTGCTTAAAAAAAATTAACTTGGTTTTTATTGTTAATTGATGTGCTATACGCAGCCAAGCACTATGTCTTAACACCTTGGATATGTACTTGAATATATATAGCACTACTATACATTCAAGTTGACTCATCAAATTGGTTTAGCATAAGTTTGCACCACGCATGGAATATATGCAAATTAATTTCATTTTATTATGGGTTCCTTCTATTATTTATTTTTATCTTTTTTGTAGGGTACAGATCCCAAAATCAAAAGCACATATTCCCTCAGTTTTTAAATACTATAAGAAAATTTTAAAAACCTCACATAGTTTAAAAAAATTAGTTAATCCTAATAATTATGTTTAAAGTTGATAAGATTTAGATTAAAATGTATTTTTTTATTAATGTTTACTTTTTTTATATAATTTAATGATACTATCCATTCATAGAGGGTAGTTTGAGAAAATTGTAATAATTAAATTGAAATTTGTAATTTTGCTTCTAAAAACAATGAAACCTATGCTAGTTTTTCTTATAATAAAACTTCAGGAGAGTGTGTGTGTATATATATATATATGCTAGAAACTATCCTGCAAAGTTTTTTTTTTTTAAAGCAGAACTAGGCAAAGATATAATTCAATTCATGAATTCTTTGAATTTGACTGTTTCCCCTTCATTTTTGTTGAATAATAATTAGTTGTTTTTTTTATAGACCTTTAGGATTAAATGTGTGTTTGGTCCTGAACTAGTTCATTTCAATATATAGTGTCAGAAATGAGGAGAGCGCTAGAGTTCTAAACTATAAAAGTCATAAGAGAAAAAAATGGACACCAGAGCGAGTGTTATCCTTTATTGAAATGATTAAAAATCAAGAACCATTTAAAAATCACTCAATTCTCTCACTTATTTTATTTGTAAATTCTTATTATCTCGGTCCTCCTCGACTTGATACTCTTTATATACATAACTTGTTTACATATGTCATTACAAAAAAAATGACTTTAAGTGGCGACCAAAAAAGTCACCATCAAAAGTAGACCTTTAGATTGTCGCCACTAAAAGCTGCAATCAAAAGTCTTTTTTTTTCTTGTAATGTGTGATCTATCCATCAAGCTTTCATCTTCTCCTAGCCAAACTATCAATGTTCTCTATTGACAATTTTTTATTTTATTTTTTTCTTATGACTTGCATAAGTGGTATCAGAGTTAAATTTTGATACCACTTGTTAGTAACATGGAGAGATTGCTTGAGAACAAAGGATAGAAAAAAGAGTAAGATTACAAAAAAGATTGTCCAATATAATGTAGGACTTCTCACGTTGTTTTGACTCCACTCATACTTGAGCAATCTAACAATCCCATTGAAAGTGAGTCTATAAGCTCCTCATATCAAAGACACTTATAAATACCAAGTCCTTATTGTATGGTCAATATAATTTTTAGGCTTCAAATGGCATGGTAAACACAAGTCCCTGCTACGGCCAAGGCTAGTTTCATTTTGAGCTTCAAACATATGTGCAATAATGAGCTTTTCATATCCTGAGTGGTCGCTCCCCATTCTTAACAGATGACTTAACCATCTGATTGTGAAGAGAGTTGAATAATTAATAAAACAATTTAAAATTTAACCAAAAAGTATAGTTTATGCCCAAAAATTAAAAATATTAATTGGTACTATTTTTTACAAAAATATATGATTTCATATATAACAATTAATATTATCCACATAAGATATCGCATATGTCTAGAGTCTCAAAGATTCTCTATCCCAGCAAAATCAACCATGATATTGAAAACTGAATTGATTATTAAATCGATTAAGATAATGGGTCAAGGCTTAGTGGTTCAACTTAGAGTCAACCTAAAGTTAGACTAATCTTAATTAAAATAGTGTGATTTAATTTGTATATATAAAAATATTCATACTTAAATATAAAAAATGAATATTTGAATAAAAAAATCATTAGTTCTTCTCCCTCCGTTTCTATTTGTAGGGAAAAAAATTGTATCATATAGTTTAAGAATATTAGTTAACTATATTAATTATATATGAAAATAAAAGAATTAGACTACAATACCTTTTATTAATTGTGTTAATTAATCCTTCATTAATTATTTTTTATGAATATGAATGATAAAATTAGAAGGGATAATTTAAGAAGTTAGCCATAAATGCTTATTGAAAAATATAACTTTGCTTATATAAAAAAACAAGCTAAAAGTAATAGTTTCTTTTATAAATAGAAATGGAGATACTTAAATATTATACATGTAAGCATAGTCCCTAAAAATTCATCAAACTTTGTAAAATCCCAATAAAAAGTTAAACAATTTTGCTCAAATAACCTAACAAATATTTAATACAAAGAGAAATGGTCTTTATCATGACTAATATTTAAAGATTATTCTACAATCTGCTCTCCACACAAATTTCTCACATAATCTTATCATAACTGCTAAATTTGTCAAATATATTATTCAAATAAATGTAGTGTAATGAATTGGGTTGATTGGGTCATCTCGGATTGACCCCATCAGGTTGCAACTGAGTTGACCGGATTAACACTACCACAAATTAGGATATAAACTTGATCGGCCAACTAACTAGTTCATGGCTGGTCCTAACTGGTTTTCCATTCATTGAAACCATTAAAGCTTGCTAGTCGCTACTACATATATATATATATATATATATTCTGACCAAAAGAAGTAGTGGTGCAAAAATCCTGATGTTAAAGAGAATTTCTCTTGTAATTAATAATTAAAGAGTTGTCCAAATAAAAAATCTTCAACTCAGAGTAAAGTAATTGAAGAACGAAATTAATAGCCACAAAAGTAAATAAACAACACTGAGTTATTTATTATTCATGCGTACGTATATATGCGTTGGCAGGACTCATCAAGCAAACCGGTTGATGGCTGCACTTTATTCATCATCATCATCATTATTCTTTATTAATTAAGTTGATATAAATGAATCCATGTTCAAGCATAGCTGTACATCCCATACACACAGGAACTGGCTTCATCACACTTGTTACCACATTTGCCACAGTGCTTTTCATTCCTCATGGGGTTCACACACTTTCCCTCGCAACATATCTTCTGGTGTCCACATTTCTTGCCACATCTCCCACAGTTTGACGAATCTGTCTCGAGATTCACACACTTGTTGTGACAGCAATGTGGGCCTGCACTTCCTTCCACAACACAAACCCTAGGGTTTATCTTGCAATTCGTTATGCTCCCATAGGGTATGCCAGCAAGAAAGCGACTTGAGAACCCACGATGTCCGGAGTTGGATTGTTCTTTTGATGCTCTCGAAAGAGAAACGGCGGAAGCCGCAAATATGGTAATGAGAAGGAAAAGAATCCTCACAGACTTGTTCATGTTTGGAAGTTTGTTGGGGTTCTAAGATAAGAATTTGGGAAAGGCTTGAATAGAGACGAAGGTGATATAGGAATGATAGGTTGTGGTTTTGGATGAGACCAAAGGAGGGACGCAGAGGGATATATATAGGAGGAACAAGTGAAGGAATCATGCAGATTTCAGATTTGGTTCTTCTTTGTAGTTCATTTGTTTATGCATTTTCTGATATGATGGTCCAATTTGTGGGTTCAAGTTTAAATCAATTAAGTTAAGCTTACCAGAACATAACTGAAGAGTGGAAATAAAATTGAAGCTTGCTTGATGGTAACTAAAACTACTTCCCCGAAACTTCATAGGCAAGTCAAAATGATCACTTGCAAAGTCTTGTTAAGCTCCTCCCCTGGCAAAAGTAAAAATCACTAAATTATATATAAAGCAAATGAGAAGAGAAACCGGTCGGCTGTGAAAGTTAATTAGCCTCCAATTTTTTAAATCTCCATTTAAATAAAAAAATTAATAAAAGTAGGTATATTTTTTTTGGCAATGCAACATCTCTTGATTATGTCTTTGAATAAATTAAAATTAATTCTCTTTTGTTAAATAAATTTATAAGGGAATAAATTTTTAAATTTTTGTTAATAAAAACTTACCAAATTTTTTTTTATATCCCAACATTACCCCGTTAAGTTTTGCAAATAAAAAAATGAATTACAATTGGACTTTGCAAATAAAAAAATGAATTACAATTGGACTTTCACTCTCAATTGAAAGTTGGCAGATTTTGAATTGGATAAAAGCAAACAGGGAAGTCAGAGACGCAAATCGGGTTATGAAGCATTAGGGTTAATTCGTCTTGAAATTCTTTTGATGCAGTTGGATTAATCCTTACAGTCTAATACACATACACAAGATCAGTAATCTGGGGACAACACGTCGCTGTTTTGCATACTCTTTATAAAACAAAACACACACACACACACACACACACACACACATTTCCCTATATTTATTCTTGCTTCCAGATCACTAGGTCAAGCAAGCTAAGCAAGGGAAATAATGAAGAAATTAGGAATGAATATATAAATATTTAACATAGGTTTATAATATTTGACAGAACGTGATTTTATTCTCAACATGCTTGTAATGACAACTAAATTAATATGTTAAGCTAGCATATGAGATTGTACTTCTTTTCTTAATATTCTTGTAACAGTTAATGCAACTGTGTAAAGACAATTATATAATTAATTTTAAATCTAAAAATATATATATTTCTTAGAATAATTTTTCTTTAGCTAATGACAAGAAAGGGGAAATATGCTTGGATTGCAAGCCAAACAATATTTCTCACTCGTTCATAGCTAAAGAGAAAGCAAAGGAAGTGATTGCTGATTCCAATTAATTCTCGAAAAAATTTTCTTTTTAAAGGGTGAAGTTCGTGTGTGTGTGTGTGTGTGTTTTGGTGCATGCTAGAGATTTTTCATGAATTGTTTGAACTCAATGAAAAAGGGAAAGATGTCAAGTGGCCAAAGATCGAGAGGAATAATATCTGATTGTGTTTTGCTATTAAATCAAGCCAAGCATCATTCCTTGGTCTGATAAGAATTAAAGCACATATTCCCTACAGCTAGCTAATTTCCACACTGTATAGCATCTTCAAAATTAAATCGTTTTTATTTTAATTTTAAACACGAGAAGTTATAAGTACTATTTGAATTAAATTTGAGCACTGAACACACACTAGAATAACAATTCTCTGGGATTTTGACCTCAAAATCAAAGGCATAGATGCCAGGAATTCCTCTGCGGAGTCCAGATGCGGCTAAAACAACATATTTGATATCATACAGAGGTCTTTCTCTCACCCAGCATCATTAGAATCTTCTTGGAATTGTAAGCTCAGTTATATTAAGTTTAAACATATCATGTGCGTGTATCATATATAAATTCATCATGTTCATCACAAAGTTAATTTCTCTAAGTAACTAATGGCTAACTGTTTGGGTTGTTTTATGGATATCTTCAGGAATGGGATGATTTCAGGACTAAAGTTCTCAATACAATTTAGTCTAGGGCACCTATTAAAGAAAGGGGATTGAAACTTTAATTAAATTAGATTCATTCAAAAGCGAAATCCTTGATACCATCTATTAACAATCAAATACACACCATTGAAGCTTGGTATTCAGAATTGCCAATCTGACAAATATATACAGAAAGATGTTGATACGTTTGGGAATCATGAATTTGCTAGGTTCAAGGGATTCTAATACTGATAGGATGGGGTACTTTACTGCCCGTTGGGGTGATCATTGCAAGATTCTGCAGAAAAATTCCCATCAAATGCAATCAATGGTACTCAAGTCACATAACGTGCCAGCTTCTGGGACATATTTGGGCACCATAGGCTGGTCCATTGGCATGTGGCTTGCAGCTTCTTCACAACAATATGCATCTGCAACTCAACGCACTCTCAGTATCGTTGCCTTTACTCTCATAAATGCACAAGTAAGTCCCTCTAATTCTTTCTTCTTCAACTTTGTTGGTAAATAATACACTTCATTTTAAGTATTCTTAAAATGAATATATATGTTTGTGTTAAAATGAAATCAGATGCTTTCCATTTGCATGTTGCCAAAGAAAGATCAGGGTTACTGCAGCAGCTGGAACATATGCCACCATGTTCTTGGGTATGTTATAGTGGTGGTAGTTATCGCAAACATATTTGGAGGGATGAACGCTAAATGTGATGAAGCTGAAAAGTTGAAGTGGGCTTATTTAGGGGTACTTAGTATTTTGTTGGTCATAGTTGTAGCATTGGAAGTCTTCAGGTACATCAAGTCAAAAATGTTGTCACAGTCTGTGGAATCAGCCACAAACATGTACAGCAGTTCACTAGAAATCAAATGAAATGTATGTAACTTTTTCTTTCTCCTTTTTGAAGGCCATTGATGCATGGTAGAAGAAGGAATTTCACAGTTGTATCTTCTTCTTCTTTTTAATAATTTTATCAATTAGATGGCTATCAAGCTCATGTGTTGCCCGATGCCCATTTGATAAATGGTATCATTCATAGACTTGCAAACAACATAACTTTCTATAAATACTCCTTTGTTCAATATTTATAATATATTTTTAATTGAATTACACCCTCAATGAATTAATTAATTGTCTTAAAAATTACATATTCTTTCCATGTTTACTATTATTTAATAAGATGTCTCAATTAAAAAACTTTATTAATTATAATACCTTATTACTTGTACATTAAAAGATTCAAAATGCCTATAATTTTAAACATAATACTTTAAAAAAATATCTTATAATATTGGACGAAGAGAGTATATATTTTAAAGAGAAGTGAACATAACTAGGTAAATGTGTTTTAATCCACTGTACTACAAACTTTTAATGATTTACAATGCTCATGAATAGTATAATTTGCTATAAATTTATTATATACATATACTTTGATATATTGATGATCTATAAAAATAATTAAGATATAAAATTGATTTCCTAAATAAACCTTCTAATAAAAAAATTTAATTTGGGTACTCTAGTCATCCTTAAAATGGGTAGATGATGTCAACCTTAAATCTAAATCTCTAAGGTCGTTCATTGTCACACCCCAAAAAAAAAAACATAGAGTGGTAACCGGCACGGGATGTGAACCATATAACACATCTCCGTAAGCTTCTAATCTTAAACTCATTTCATTTCTAAAATGTAATAAAATTTATATTAATATTTTAACATTTTTGGTATTGGTCATTATAATAAAGTTAAAAAAATTGTAAAAATTTTGAGAAAACCTCATCTGCAAATAGAATCTTCCAAAACTCTACAATACAAAAATATTTACAGAATATCATGTCAGTCAAGAACTTAGCTCTTCCAATGAATAGACAGCATATATACCAAAATAGAAGCCCTAGACATAGCATATGTGGAGCACCTAACCAGACCTCTCCAAAATAACATACATAAGCATTGATAGTTACATAAAAAAGGAAATTTTGATCAGTTCTTTACCCAGCACATCTATGAGTTCTCATGGATCAACTGGAGAATCGGTGTTAACTAAGGTATCTGAGATCAAAATAATTTTTCAATGAATAACGTCCCAACAATAAATAATTGAACATAACAAAAGATTTAAACAATTATGTTAGTTAAAGAGGCAACGATCTTTATAAAAATTTAGTAAACTTCGAAATAAAATGATTCTATAAAATTTTAAATAAAATCTCATAATAAATAATATTATCACTTGATTGCAAAGAAGCAAATAAACAAAATTAATAATTATAAATAATTTACTATTTAAAACCAATGGGATGTAAAATTATCAAATAATCAAAGTCATATAATAGGACTTATCAGAACAATTAACAAACGTGGACACACAGTCCACGAAGGTAAATAACCAAACGCGGCTCTTGCCACGAAGCAAACGTGGAGACACAGTCCACGATGGTATGTAACCAAACGCAGCTAAAGCCACGAAACAAACGTGGACATACAGTCCACGAGGGTATGTAACCAAACGCAGCCAAAGCCACGAAACAAACGTGAGTACGATGCTCACGAATAACCACCCCTCCATTCCACGTGCGTTGGCCATCGCACGGGGCTAGCACCTCCTATACACACCCTGCTAGCTAGGTGTACCATGGCGCGCCAAGGGCTAACGGAACTGCCGTTAGCAACCAGTGTTCTATATAAAGTCCCTTTTTTAAAACCATTTTCAAACATGCGAGAAATCGATCACCATTCAATCAAATTTTCCTTTTCAATGTCGAACTCGCATGAATCGTTTTTCCGTAACAATTTGATAATTTCCAAATTGAAATCCTACAGTTAGAATTCAAACTTGCATTTACTGATTAACTAAAATGATCAATTTTGGTAAAATAATTTCATAAAATAATATAATTTAATCAACAAAATATCTCATAATCACATTGTTGTCATAAAAAGAATTTGCATAAAAATATAATATTTAAATAAAAGAGATT